CTCTCTGAATGCTCTCATTCTTAGTAAATGCAGCAGCTTAATCAACCATTATTTGGTCCGTATCTTCCCTTTTTTTTTTTTTTTTTTTTTTTTTGGAGGAAAAGTCATTTTACCATCTTTCTATCCATGTGTTCGTCCTAATTTGTAAGGGGCTGTTGGATCGGCTTTTGAAACCCCACATATATTCTCAATTCCGGTGGCTGCTTTCTTCAACCTTTGAAGTGGGAGGTGGAGATGGCTGGTCCTCAGCTCTTCTTTGCCACTACCCTTTTGTTGCTTCTCCCCACGTTCATCCCACAGGTATTCTATGATGTTTGATCATTCTCATCTCTTAGATTTGAATCTAATCTTTCCTGTTTACTTGTTTCCATTTCTCTTGTTCGAGTTCTTCTAGATTTGAATACCCAGTTGATTTGATTATGCTTTGTATGATTAGTTATCTGATTTTAAGCATATAGACTTCAAAAAGTTTGGATCTTGATGATTATAAGTATTGTTAAAGGAATTCTGTTAGATATTTTTCAAACAAATGATGGATGGTAGTATATTCGGTAGTAATTTGAAATTACACCCAACAAAAGCTGCAGAAATTAAAGTAAATGTTGATTTTGTGGTAGGAGACTTTGGCAGAGCGCTTATTTTGAAACTGGATTTCTCTTAGTTTATTGCTTGTGGCAGTCATTAGGTTATCATACTAAATCATCATTTGGATTCTTATGATAGGAGGCCAAAGTATCCTCTTTAATGATAAGAGTATATATCATACGTGTCTTTCGTTTTCATTTATTGTTTGTCTAGGTTTATACTAGTTCTTGATATTTTTTGATAATTGGAACTTAATAGATACTATTCTTTCAGCAGGTCATTGCTGTGAAACCACTCTCCGAGATCAAGCTTGAATCTCAAATCCTTCAGGTATTTTTCTGCTCAAAACTCTGATTCTATGTTGCCATCTTCAATTAATAATTTTGGAAATCCCAGATGGATTATACTATAAAATTCAAGGTTAATCTCTATGTTGAGTTGCTGCGATTTATGTTATGGTTCTCCCCATTATCATGCAGGATTCGATAGTGAAAGAAGTTAATGAAAACCCCACAGCTGGATGGAAAGCTGACTTGAATCCTCAATTTTCAGATTACACTGTAAGTTGGCTACTCTAAAGGCCATCTCAGTGACAGTTGTCTTTCGTTTTATCTCCTTTGGGCATATGTTGGTATTTTCCTGCTAGTTATTGATGATGTCTTTTTGATTGTTTAGGTTGGTGAGTTTAAGCACCTTCTTGGAGTAAAACCAACTCCCAAAAAGCTCCTGTTGGGTGTGCCTGTTATAACTCATGACAAATCATTAAAATTGCCAACTAGTTTTGATGCTAGAGAGAATTGGCCACAGTGTAGCACCATTGGAAGAATTCTAGGTAAGTTGCTTGTCTGTTTTCTATGATTCTATGATCTGTATGATAAAGGTACTGATGATTTGCTCCCTTATTGTCAAATTGGTTCCTGAATCAATTCCCATCTTGAAGATCAGGTAACTCTATTTTTATTTTTCTTTCAAAGTTTTATCTCTCAACACTTAACAATTTCTTAGCTCATTTAGCTTGATGTTTCAGGGTCACTGTGGTTCTTGTTGGGCTTTTGGTGCTGTTGAAGCATTGTCTGATCGTTTCTGCATCCATTTTGACCTGGTAAGTGAAACTCTCTGGATAACATGTTAACAACTAGACAACCTCTGAAATCAACATGCAATAAACATACCATATTGTTAATTTCAGAACATATCTTTGTCTGCTAATGACCTCATTGCATGCTGTGGCTTCCTGTGTGGAGCTGGTTGTGATGGAGGGTATCCAATTGCTGCCTGGCGATACTTTGTCCACCATGGTGTTGTCACTGAAGAGGTATCAATATCATTCATCTGTATCTTTAATTACCATTACTGTTATGATATATATGTTCGTCTCTGTCTCCTTCATTAATAAATTCTCCATGCCAGTGTGATCCATACTTTGATGACATTGGCTGTTCTCACCCGGGTTGTGAGCCTGGATATCCTACTCCAAAATGTGTGAAGAAATGTGTTAATGGGAACCAGCTTTGGAGAGATTCAAAGCACTATGGTGTCAGTGCATATAGAATCGATTCCGATCCATACAACATCATGGCAGAAGTTTACAAGAATGGACCAGTTGAGGTCGCCTTCACCGTCTATGAGGTAAAAGAAAGCAACTTTTTTGCCTTTAATGCATAAAACAGCAGTATTTTGGAGACTGAGTTGGTTGATATTGTGTGGGCTCTTTGCCACTTTCAGGATTTTGCTCACTACAAGTCAGGAGTCTACAAACACATAACTGGTGGTATAATGGGAGGGCATGCAGTTAAGCTCATCGGATGGGGAACCTCTGATGACGGAGAGGATTATTGGGTAAGCTGAGTTACAGCATAACACTTTTCATTTTTGAGTGGTATAATGTTCCACAACTAAAATTTCTGACTCTGTACTCTCCCCTCGTTGCAGCTTCTTGCAAATCAGTGGAACAGAGGCTGGGGTGATGTATGTTTCCTCTTTCCTTGAATTTTTCTCCACATCCCCTACATGATTAACTGCTACAAAAGCTCTAAGTATCTGAATTCTTGTATGACAGGATGGTTACTTCAAGATCAGAAGAGGCACAAATGAGTGTGGCATTGAAGAGGACGTGATTGCTGGTTTGCCCTCGACGAAGAATCTTGTCAGAGAGGTTGCTACTGGAGATGGTCTCATTGATGCTTCATTCTGAGAGTAGTTCACTCTACCAAGACCCCTTATCATATAAGTCTGTCATTCGTGAACTTAAAAGGCACTGTTGTAGTTTGATTATATAAATTATCAGCTAGTATGATGCACTGTTTGAAAACTTCATGCTTGTGTATAGAATATAAACAATGTGCCCACAAGATATAAACACCAATAACATTTGCAAATCCGAATTGACATCCTTCTTTTCTCGGGAAACAAGCATCTCAGCCAGCACTAAACCACCTATGGGTTCTTATTACCTGAACAAATGAAAACACCTAAGGAAACCAGAATAGGAATCAAAGAGATTAAAGAATCAAGGGAAATCTAAATATAAGCAACTCGAGTCTTGGTGCCTTCCAATCTCTCTCATTAGTCTCTTCTTCTTCCTTTTTCTCACTTCATTTAACCCGTTTTCTTTACCATTGATATGCTAAAATCACTTTAACAAATACATTAATTGCATCAAGTAATACAATAACAAGAGAAGTATTAAACTTACTAGGATTGTGATTAATTATGCATAAAAAATAATTAATTTAGATTTATTTGAATATTTGAAAATGAAGAAGCTTTAATAAAAAATAATAAAAAGAAATTAATAATTAGAATAAAACTAAGATTTAAGGTATTAATATATTAAAATATCATTTTCACCATAGTTAATTAACATAAACTTTAAATTATTATACTTTCAAGATATTTACTATTTATATGATAATAAAATTTTTTATTTTATTTTATATGCTTTTTAAAGTTATAATAAAACTATTTTCATTTATTAACTTATTATATCTTTATATGAATTTAAATAAAAAAATACATTATATTATATAAAATTCCTCAGTACAATCTCGATATCTGAATTCCAAACCTCAAAGGTTAATGATCTCTGTCTTACCACTAGTGGCTAAATGTTAATTAGTGATTTATAAAATTAATAAAGTATTCTTAACAAAAAAAACTGTCTCCACACCACGTTGTGGACCACTGGTGAAGGGCTTAATGGTGTGTCATCCAGGTCATTGACTCTCCTCCCCGTTCCCCTTAGTCTATTGTGTAATTTCTTTAAAATAAAAGAGGTGCCTGGAACCAGCTTCCACTTTAATTTAGTTTAAGCAGTTCAAACAGACAGCACACATCGTTAAAAAAAGAGGCAATTTTCCTTTTAATCACGAGTCACATGCATCTATTGGGAGTATTAACATCATCGTAATTATAAAATTGGTTGCGTTCATAAACAAGGGGCTT